GCCACAAAGGAAAAAGAAATTCTGGCTTCTCTTACTATATTTTAGGATCACCCGTTGGTGTCAAGGTCATCTTACACAAGCACACTATGTTTAATAGGAATAAATGGTAGAAAATCAGAATGGCCTTAATCATCACTGAGATTCAAGCAACAGGTAGACTGGGAAATGCTATGAGAAAGTGTAAAATGTTGCTCATGTGCCAGATAAAAAGAAAACAGATGCATTCTAACCTTAACCACCACCTGTTTGATTTCTGTAATGCAGAAATATTTTCAAATTACAAACATTTTTAGCCAACACTAGCAACGTATGTCATCATTTTAAGATGGGAAATGTGTGGCAGATGTTGTCAATATATCTCTTAACCTTAGGTATCTATTAACCTCAAAGATGGAAAGAAAACACAAATTTGGGAACAGATCAAGGTGGATGTTACTCTAATGCAGTTAGCCTAATAATGCAGATCAGTTGACAGTGACTCATTTTCATTTTATTGGAAACATGGAGAGATCCCTCTGCTGGCTCACCGCCCAAATGCCCCCAACAGCCAGAGGTAGGAGAAACCAAAGTCAGGGTCCCAGAACCCAGTCCAGGTCTCCCATGTGGGTGGCAGGAACCCAAATACTTAAGCCACCATCTGTTGCTTCCCAGAGTATACATCAGCAGGAAGCCGGACCGGAACCAGAACGGCAGGGCCTCAAATCCGGCACTGCATTATGGGATGCAGGCAAGCAGCAACTCCACCACTGCCCCACACAGCTGCCCCAGCGGTGAACACAGGAGTCTCTGACGGAGTAACTGATGCCCCTCGGATCCTGTGCCCCAAGGAACTGACAGGTGTTTCACCTGCACACACCCCACCTGGCAAGATTTCACGGCGTTGGACTAAACCAGGCCAAGTAGCAAGCTTACTTAACAAGCTTCTTTATTACAAGACTTCTCAGAACCTTCATTCAACTCTAATTTCTGGCATTCCTCAACTTACTTTTTCTTAAATACTTATACAGGGAATACGTTCCACAGAACACATGTTGACAAACGCTCTTCTAATATGATAGCTTTCGTTATAAATCTGCTTCTAAAATATGAATTTGATTTCTATGCCCTATTTCCTCACTGAGTAGTCCCCCTTCTCTAAATGAAGGGGAACAGCTATACTCCATAGTGAGCAGGTTAATATGACTGAGCTCTTGTCTCAATCAGGTATCATCACACACGCACACACACATGCACACATATGCACACACTCACACACATGCACATACACACTCAAACACATGCACACACGCACTACTCACATACACCCACAGGTACACACTCACGTGCACATATACACACATACACACATGATCAACACATGCACACACATATGCACACTCACACACATGCACATACACACTCACACACATGCACACACTCACACACACACTACTCACATACACCCACATGTACACACTCACATGCACATATACACACATACACACATGTACACATGCTCAACATATGCACACTCACACACATGCACATACACATACTCAAACACATGCACACACTCACACACACATGCACTACTCACATACACCCACATGTACACACTCACGTGCACACATATACACACATACACACATGCTCACACACATGCACACTCACACATATGCACACAAGGTCGTGTAAGAGGGCAAAGCAGTGAGAGCTCTGAGAGCCCCCACCTGAACCCAGGGTCTGTGGGCGTACCTGGACATTGTAGCAGGCTCGCTGGTGGACATGTTTCTGTGGCTGGACATCACTCTCCACCCCTAGAGACCGGACCTCTGTCCTGGAGGCACAGGTGTCAAGCATCACAAACTGCACAGTAGCGAATGGATACCAGTCAGAGGGGATCTCCTGGTCTGACCCAAGTTCTAGTTTGTAGGACAGACAATGGGGATGATCAGGACCTCGGGGGAGAAAAGAAATCAAATGGTCAAAATACTTCCATGGCCACTGAACACTGCTCTAGAACATAACAAGCACTCACCTCCTTAATAAGCAACTCCATTAGCATCACAGGGGGACAAATTCCATTTAAACAACATCCCACCAAAATCCACAGTTTTGTACAAACTAGAAGGGAGTCTGTATTTCTTAAATGTTTGCTTTAAAAGAGTATAATCTTCGGCCGGCGCTGCGGCTCACTAGGCTAATCCTCCGCCTAGCGGCGCCGGCACACCGGGTTCTAGTCCCGGTCGGGGCACCGGATTCTGTCCCGGTTGCCCCTCTTCCAGGCCAGCCCTCTGCTGTGGCCCGGGAGTGCAGTGGAGGATGGCCCAAGTGCTTGGGCCCTGCACCCCATGGGAGACCAGGAGAAGCACCTGGCTCCTGCCATGGGATCAGCGCGGTGCGCTGGCCGCGGCAGCCATTGGAGGGTGAACCAACGGCAAAGGAAGACAAAGGAAGACCTTTCTCTCTCTCTCTCTCACTGTCCACTCTGCCTGTCTAAATAAATAAATAAATAAAAGATTTTTTAAAAAAAGAGTATAATCTTATTACTGTATATGTGCATAAATTAACTCCTAATATGTTTTCAATTTTAAGTATTATAAAGTTTTAACTAAAATACAAAAGCAATATTTATAATAAGCACATTTGGCAACAATGTGCTTGAGGCCTGCAGAAACTTCTTTCTCTCTAGTAGCCTGAATGAACCCCTCCAAGAATTCTTTATTAACTCATTACGCTACCATGCAGCTTATTTGCAGACAATGCAAAGACAAACTTCAGCCCAAATTAAGTCATATTATGAAAAAATTCTGTTTTTTAAAAGTGGAAAACTTAATGAAATTTTATTATATTTCAGAAAATATTTTGGGTCAAGAATTTTCTCTTTCACTAGGACAGCCTATGTTTCAGCACTGTCATTCTCATCCGTCCTTCTGAGAAGCTGTGATTGGAGCAGATGTACAGTGCAGAGATGGGCATATTGGACTTCAGTGTTTCAATGTAATATTTGCTTCCACTCCATTCAGCTTGCCATTTGTCAAGCATCCAGACTATGCCAGGCCAGGCTCTGGGCCAGACCCGGCGACACTGGATACACCCTGATTTTAGGTGGAATTGTAAAATGTGTGAGTGTTATAATGGAACACAAAATATCTTCACTGTGAGCACTGCAGTGACTTTATAAATGATCCATGATCCTGTTGCATGGTTCATAGCATCTACATACCCAATGCAGCTGTCTTCACTTAAATAAATATGAGATGGCAGTCATTTCAAAAGCTATATTAAATTATTGTACCACTGACACATCTCAAGAAAGAACATTTTCATCAGAATATAGCTTTAGGCACAAAAACAAGAGTTGAGAGGATTTCACTTAATTCTTAAAAGATAAATTGCCTTTCATTATTTATAACCCGTTTCTTGTCGAGACACTAATGGAATTCTATGGCTGTAAAAGGCCTTGAGAAGTCATCCATCAACGAAGCAGCAGACGCTCAGTAGCCATCTCCACTCCAATGCCCAGGGTGGGACAAGGTGGCCTCCAAGGCCCTCTGCAGTGGTAACTTCACTGACACTCACATGTGCCCAAGTCCACAAGCCATCACCTTCCCAGCCTGCCAAGTCCTTGCACACTGTTAACGCAGGCTTTGGGCCTGTGAGGGCCCCATGGTGACGAACAAAACCCTGGACCCACACTGCCCAGGTCCAGTCCCCGCTCTACTGCTTAGGGGCTGTGTTACCCCCAAGCCCCAGTCTCCTCATCCAAAAACGAGGGTGACAGCCCTTGAAAGGGTGCTGTGAGGACAGAGCAGTTGGTGTAGAGCGACACACTCCTCCAGCACGGACAGGCTGGCACACAGGGTCACTCTGCAAGTGCTATTCATCTATAAGCCCGCTAGTGTTTTTTAATTACTCTAAGTTTTCTAATAAAGGGACTGTGGATTCCACACATTTAGATTGGAGATGATCTGATTTAAGAAAAACAATTTTTGGAAGTTTTGCAGCAAACACTGAAGAAAAGAAATTCAACCCCAGTTGAAGACATAGTACTTCAAAAGAAAAATCTTTTGCTGCTTTCCTAAAAAACTGGTAAAAGACAAAAGAGAGCATTTTTCCCTTTCAAGTTTTATTTTTTATGACTTTTGAAAACTCTAAATACTCTGCAGTGTCTAATAATAACACGCTCCCTCTGGACTCTGAGCTCCGTGAGAACAGATATCATGGCTGTCCCTAGTACAATGTCTGGCATGTTTGGAGCGCAACAGAGATTTGATTAACTCACAAATTAAATGAGTTAAGACAGGCGAAAAGCATGTGACCAGACTGACCACCAGGGGGCACACTCGGGCTTTGGTAATTGTTACACTCCCACCACAGCCGCTGGTCTTAGGACAGGGGTGGCAAATCACAAAATCTTAGGACTGTTTGCTATCCAATCCTTATTGAACCAAAATCCGTCACATCTGAAACAACCGCTGAGGGCCGAAGGACATAAGTGGTCAGAGAACGCCACAAGGGGAGAGGAGAGAAGTAACCAATGCGTTGACGACAGAGCAGAGGCAACTGGGTCAGTCAGACATGGATGCAGTCAGAAACTGTCTAATTCTGAGCCACTATTTACCCCTCTCCCTCTCCTTCCTTCTTTCTCTCCTCCCTTCCCCCAACAAAGCCTAGCCCCCTCTGGAGTCCTTCACACTTTAGTAAGAATGAGCCTGGGCCATCCTCTTTGGCAAATGAAAGACCACCCCCTGCTGAAGGAGCTGCAAGACTGAGGAGCTGGTAGGAGAGACGTTTAAAGGACCAGTGATCCCTCCCATGGAGAGCCAGTGCCCTGTCACTCAGACATGGTTTAATGGAGAATACACCTGCCAGAGAGTACTCTGGAGAGAGCTGAGAGCTGAGCACGCAGTCTGTATTCAGACGGGGCTTTTAAGGGAATGGGCTCTAGTTCTCCCCACCACCACCACCCACCACCACCACCACCACCCCCCTAGGACTAAGGGTTTGCTGAGTGTGCATTAGGTGAAATTCCTCCCAGAGTTTCACTACTCAGAGCTGTCAGAGTGGGGAGCCCATCTGGGCTGGGCAGAGGAGCGGAGGAATGAGTCTGCCTAGGGGACCACACCCCGCTGCACAGAACAAGCAGGTCAGCAGCTCTCCATCCTGGCTGCATGGGAGAGCCCTTCCCGGGGGCCTCACCCCCAAGTCTGACCCTAAAGGAGGTACAGGTTGAGTGTCCCTGATCCAGAAGGTGCGAGGTAGGAAGTCAGAAATGAGCCTGTGGGTGCGAGAGGGGCCTAAGGGAAACGCAGCACCTGCAGAAGCTCCCTTGGGAAGCAGCCCCGTATTTTACACTACACAGTCCTGCCTGGGCCCTGATCACTTTCCAGGTGGTCTCAGCCTTCCCCCAGGGAAAGCTCTCCAGGATAATCTTTTCTCCAAAGGGGTTGCACTGAGCAATAGAACCTTTACATCCTTCCCTTCCCCAGGCCCTCTAGGGGAGGCTCCTCTGCCCAGCCCAGATGGGCTCCCCACTCTGACAGCACTGAGTAGTGAAACCCTGGGAGGAATTTCACCTAATGCACACTCAGCAAACCCTTAGTCCTGGGGTGGAGGGGGGGTGGACTAGAGCCCATTCCCTTAAAAGCCCAGTCTGAATACAGACTGTGTGCTCAGCTCTCAGCTCTCTCCTGAGCACTGTCTGGCAGGTGTATTCTCTCCATTAAACCATGTCTGAGTGACAGGGCACTCGCTCTTGGATTCTGTCCCATCCATTCTCAGGGATGCCCTACCCCATTAAACCTACTACCTTGCTTACCACTGCTCTCTGTCTCATGTCTGAATTCTTTCTTGTGTGAAGAACCTACCCCACCCATCTTGACTAACAAAGTGTTTCAGATTTCAAGTTTTTTTTTTTTTTTGACAGACAGAGTTAGACAGAGAGAGAGAGACAGAGAGAAAGGTCTTTCTTCCATTGGTTAAACCCCCCAAATGGCTGCTAAAGCCGGCACGCTGCGCTGATCCAAAGCCAGGAGCCAGGTGCTTCCTCTTGGTCTCCCATGCGGGTGCAGGGCCCAAGCACTTGGGCCATCCTCCACTGCCTTCCCGGGCCACAGCAGAGAGCTGGACTGGAAGAGGGGCAACCAGGACAGAATCCGGCACCCCAACTGGTACTAAAACCCTGGGTGCCGGTGCCACAGGCGGAGGATTAGCCAAGTGAGCTGCGGCGCTGGCCAGATTTCAAGTATTTTTAATTTGGGGAATTTGCATATATACAATGAGAGATCTTGGGGATGGCACCCAAGTGTAAACCTAAAATATATTTATATTTCACATATACCTTGTACACATGGCCTGGCAGTAATTTTATACAATATTTAAAAATAATTTTGCACATAAAGTTCCATGGCACAGAATTTTCCATTGGCAGTGTCAGGTTGGTCTCAGAGTTTCAGATTTGGGGGCATTTCTGATTTCAGATTTTCAGAGCAGGGTGCCCAACTTGTTTATGTTTCAAGCTCTAAGGATTTTAACATGCAGCCAAGCCTGAGAAACTGGCTTAGAGGTTAGACAAATGAATGACGTGGGCCTCTGGCCATCTCAGTTTACGGCACCATCACCCACCTATTCGCCAAAGCAAGGTGCCCTGAGCGCGGTCCTCTCCCCCTCACCCAGGAGCTCCCCGTCTGGACTCCCCGCCCCCACCGCCCTTGCTCACAGCTCCACTGCTCTTGCCCTTGCCCTTGCTCGGCCAGCCTCCCTGATACTGCCCAGGCGCTCCTCCTCTGCCTGCCTTCCCAGAGCGAGAGAGGAGTCTCTCAGCTGCTCCCGGAGACACCCTCAAGCCCTGTGGAATGCCAAACCCCTCCCCAGCACGGCTCACAGGGTCTGAAGATGCGCTAGTTCCTCTCTACCACTCCGCAGACCCTCAGGCTGCTCCCCTTGGTGGAATCCTCCTGCCTCTTCCGTGCCCAGCTAGTCACCAGCTCAGCCACCAGCTCTGCAGCAATGCCTGCCGTAGTCCCAGGGCACCACCAGCCCCTTGTCTGGGATCCCTGCTGTGAACGCTGGAGCAGGGAGGAACAGCACGCTGGGTGCCTGGGGAGTTTCTGCTGGGGCCGCCTCACCTACTGCACTGTTAGGCTGCTGGGGAGCAGGGCTCATGTTTGAGTTTCTGTCTCCCCCGCATCAGCACAGACCGTACACCGAGAGATGTAGCAGACGGCTGTGGAATGAATGTGTAAATGAGCAAGCCCTCCTCTCAATAAATTCTTGATGACTCAATCAGCCAACTGCGCCATTCATTCTGGGAAAACGCAGTGCTATCATCGACAGGATCATCTTCCCAAGGAGCTTCCTATGTTGTTCTACATAGAAAATTTACAGAGATCATTGGTGTGGGTTCTCGGTTGGAAAAGTACGTGCAGCTCCCTGGCCAGGTCTAGCTGAGTACTTAGCTTCTCCTGCTCCAAGCACAGGGCAGCGATGGGCTCCCAGTGGGCTCCTCTTGCCCCTCTGTCCCCACCCACACAAGCCAGCAGGCTGAACCTTCTGGGCTCCTCTCTCAGAGCCGTAATTCTTACTGCAAACCTATGCAAAAAACTACGGCTGGCCTTTTATCTCAGTGCCAACAGCCATCTCTAGAACCAAAGGGAGGCCAGCGCCTGCGGCTCACTAGGCTAATCCTCCGCCTAGCGACGCCGGCACACCGGGTTCTAGTCCTGGTCGGGGTGCCGGATTCTGTCCTGGTTGCCCTTCTTCCAGGCCAGCTCTCTGCTGTGGCCAGGGAGTGCAGTGGAGGATGGCCCAAGTGCTTAGGCCCTGCACCCCATGGGAGACCAGGAAAAGCACCTGGCTCCTGCCATTGGACCAGCGCGGTGCACCGGCCGCGGTGGCCATTGGAGGGTGAACCAACGGCAAAGGAAGACCTTTCTCTCTGTTTCTCTCTCTCACTGTCCACTCTGCCTATCAAAAAAAAAAAAAAAAAGAACCAAAGGGAAATTCTGGGAGTCAGGTTATCACTGGGGCCCGGGGAGGTCTCTAGTGCCACAGGGTCCCCCCAGGTATTCCAACCCGCCTGACCGCCTACCTTTCTTCTTGTTTAGCAGAGTGAAAGCCAATGCTGTCAATTCGGTTAAGCCCTCTGGCCTAACTGCAGCACAAAGAACTTCCAGAACAATCATCTGGAACCTCAAGCCCTCAGAACTGATTTCCCCTGCATGAAGATGACCTAAGAGGTGTTTACACTGCCTCTCCAGCCAAGCCATGAAAAAGGCAGGAGGCGTGATTCTGCGGGTTACGTCCTGGAAGAGGCTGACCTTGCGCTTTTCACACTGGGGTTGACCAGCAGGCTCCCCTGGAGGCCATCCATGGTGACCATGCCACACCATCCCCAGCTCGCCCTGCCCCAGGTCTAACCTGGCCTTGCTGTTCCTGCTGTTCCTGGAGTCACGAGAATGCCACAGAGTGGAACTGATTTGAGTGAAGGAGGCTGTGGGCATCAGGGAGGAGACAGCATGGGGTCATCCCTGCCACACAGAGGCCTGTGTCTCTCACCCGCTGAACCCTGCCCATGGCTCACTCGTCAATCAGTTGGCAGATGTGACACCAGGGTCCATGGCCTCCAGGCTGCCATCCATGATGCCCATCAAGTGTACCGCGGGCTGGGCCTTGCTCTTCCTGCTCCGACGTCTGCATGGTCCTCACCCTGGATACACATTAGGTTCACCAGGGGAGCTCTTAAAACCTATGGGGACACGAGGCCCTCCTCCAGCGATGCCAGTCCAGGTGGAATGGGGAGGGGCCTGAACATCACGACTATTTGAAAGCTCTCAGGCTACTCGAAGGCACACTCAGGGCGCAGGAACTTCTATGGACACCTCCAATAGCAACGCTTCCTCTGAACGCCTCAGTCGCAGGGGAGCTTAGATCCCCCTCCAGGGCTAGAGCAGCTGTGCGCGCTTTGGAGACAGGGATCAGGTCTGATTCATCTCTAACCCCGGTACTTACGCAGTACTAGGTACTCAGCACATGCCCACTAAAGGGTTCACTGAATCAATGAATGAATGAACACATCGGCTCACATCCCCCAGTCCAGCTCCTCAGCCCAGTGTTCTGCCAGAAAAAACTCAACAGAAACAGGGCACAGTGCTAACTGCAGATTTTGCCTTTTTGCCACATTATATCATGCCCTGCCTTATCATAATATATTCTCCTATCTCACTATTCTAAAAATGCACGTGCTGCTGGGACTGTCTTCTCAAAGCTCTGGACTTCTAGAATGTTTTAATTGTAATTTTTTTAGTTAATTTTTAATGCTTACAAGATGTCTGCCTAATTCTAAAACAACCAGTGGAGACAGTCTAATGGGCTGGAACGTCTCCCGGGACCTCCTGGGGCCTGAGTGATAAGCTGACTCCTGGGATTTCCACTGGTCCTAGAGGTGGCCACCGGGATTGGGACATGTAGTTCATGTATCAGTTTGAAGAATTATGGCTCTGAGAGAGGAGCACAGAGGGTTCAGTAGGGACAGAGGGGCTGGGGGAAGTATGGAACCCCATTCCTGCCCTCTACAAAGAACCAAGTTTGAGTCAAAATGAAAAAAAAAAAAAAAGTAGCTTTAGTTCAAGGAACAGGCGGTTAAACCTAAAGACGTGGTTCTGGCTGAGAGTATCGGAGGTTCAGGGATGCTCAGGGATGATGGGTCCTACAGATGCACCAGGGAATTGAGCTATGTTAGAAACCTGGTTAGCATTTCAGCGGATGGGTTGATGTCAAGGAGCTCACCCACGGATGTTTATACATCTTCCCTTACTGCCAGCCACATCCACAACAAACTCCCAGCTGAAGATGGCATTTCTTATGATAGCAAAAGAAATGTAAAAGGTTAAACTCATCTGGTAGAAATAGGTGCAAAAGGAAACAATAACTCAGCAAGCATGGCCTCAGCCGACAGGTTGCCATCTGTGTCTGCCTCGTTCAACCTGAGGAGAATGCAAACGTTTAGGCAATTTCCCACACAAACCAACGGGCACTGCTGAATATTTACTAGAATTTTTATCGGGAAGCCGGTCTATCTTCCACACCACGGCCCGGTAGGCGCTCTCGTACTTGGCTGAGCCCACGGTGACCTGAATGACAGGTTCAGATTCAGGTTCATGTAAACTCCCCAGACATGCCCGGCGGTTCATCTTGGCTTTCAGGGACTTCTGCCTTTGGAGGTTCATGGTCCAGAGAGCCTTGATCCACTGCGACGGGACAGGAAAGTGAATCATCACATTGTCACAGGACATCAAGGAGCCGGCCGGGGATGATCTCTGAGCCAACGGGGCCATGTTGATGAAGGCCTGCAGTTCCACATATGCCCCCTGGACAACCACGACAGACTTCACAGAAAATGGAAGATCGTCCCCGTTATACAAGGTCTTGAAACGCATCAGCTCAAACCGGCAGGCATCCAGAGGTACAAACCTAATGATTCTTGATTGCTCAAATTCTTGTACCTTCACGCACTTATGAAAATGGTATTCAAGAATATCAATTCCCCTCTTTTCGGGGTTTTTCTCAAAATAGGATTCATCTCGTTTCTGCAGCTCAAGGTCATTCAAGGTTAAAAAGCAGTCCGCATTCCCATTCACAAAGCAGAGGCAACCGATTTGTGTTATCACTGTGCTTTCAACCAGTTTCCCTTCTCCTTTCGTGACTTTCCCCCAAAAGTTGTCCACAACTTCCAGGGTCAGCTCTTGCTCCTCGTAGCTCTTCTTTGGCTTTGGAAGGGCTGGCAGCTTCGTGAGCTCTTCCTCCACAGTGGTCAGAAAAGCAAGGAAGTCCTGGTAGTCCGTGGTGCCCAGCTTCAGCATCTGCTCCACGTCGGGCTCATGCACCACTTCTGTCTTAGAGTGGTACTTCCTCTTTTCTGTGTACGACACGTGTTCGATCTTCACCGTGTGGATCTTGCCTGCCACACTAAAGCTCTCAACTTTGGGTTCAGAGAGCCTGCACTGTGGATCGAGCTGCAGCTCCCTGAAAGGTCTCTCTAAGCCCTTCTCGTAATACATCTGCAGAATCCCTCCAGGTAAAACTTTCAGATAAATCGGTCCCCACTGCCGGGAGGACATCACGTTCTTCTTCTCGGGGATCCTCAGCATGAACGCCCACCCAGCTTTGGGCTGGCTCCTGAAGAGGGAACGGGGGACGAAGGAAGAGGCGGCGTCCTCGGCGTTCAGACACCGCACAGACAAATCTCCAAGGGACTCCTGATTCTCGGCTGACTGGAGATGTTCAAGCTTCTCGCAGATGTAGTTGAGTGAACACTTATTGAGGCTTTTTTGGTCAATAGGCATCTCCTTGTCCCTTGATGAGAATGTCTTTCTGCTTCCGGGGAGGTCAAGGCTGACCTGGGGAGCACCGCCTTCATCCTTCCAAAACGGACTTGAGAAAGCGCAGTCCTCATGAGAGTACCGAAACTGGGGAGCATCACTTTGGCACTCCTGGCTTTCGGCCTGGTGAGGGCTGGTTTCATTTGTTAGGCCTCCTCTGGGAGCTGGATGTGCATCTGAGTGCTCGCTGGGTAAGAAAGCATGGGATACACAGGTTGGTTTTGTAGGCGATAACGAGGAACCTGTTGTGAGTGGGCTGTTTGAAGAAGATTCTGGAATAGGGTAAAGTACATGAGTCCCTGCTTTGGGGATACCAGGAAAACCTGGGAAGTCTTTGGTAGGTGTAGAAAGAGGAGAGTTACTTGGAGGTCCTGGACTGAAGTAAAAGTCTACGATGGGAGAGGAAAGCGGGGTGCTGCTGGTAGAAGAAGCTCCACTGGGAAATTCCTTTGGGCCAGAAAGGTTCAGCTTAAGCCCATTGGGTCTACAGACACCTTGACTCTCCAGAGGTAAGCTCTTTGGCTTTTGAGAAGATTGAAAAGCAAGGTCATCGTCAAAGGTGACCCAGTTGCCTGGGTTCATGGAGCACATCTTTGCGGTCAGACTGTGGTCTTCTCAGGGAATTGGGAATGTTCTCTCTGTCAAAGGAGGAAGAGAAAATGGGGACATAAAACGAAAGGGAAAACTCAAGTTACTAGACGGTTTTGGTTCTAAGAAATATTCCAATGTAAAAGCAATCAGATTTACAGATTAACTGAGTTAAAAAAATGCTTAAAAGTGATAACTCTTTCGATAGTTGACTTTAAAAAAACCCAGCTCTAACTACATATTGTCTTCATGAGATTTGCTTTAGACTTAAAGATACACGTAGGCTAAAAGTGAAAGAATGGAAAAAGATATCCCATGGAAATGGAAACCAAAGCAGAGAAGGGGTGGCCACACTTGCATCAGATGGAATAGACTTTAAGTCAAAAACTGTCACAAGAGACAAAGAAAGATAGTTATGATACAAGGGGAAATTCACCAGGAAAATGTAACAACTACAAAGACATATGACCCCAACATCAGAGCACTCAAATACACAAAACAAACGCTGACAGAACTAAAGGGAGCAACAGATGGCTATACAATGACAATAGCGGATATCAATCCTCTACTATCAAAAAATACATAGAACATCCATCTAGAAGATCACGAAAGAAAGAGAATTGAGAACACTATAGACCAAATGGACCTACCAGACGTACTACAGAACATTCCACCCACAGCCACAGAATGCAGTGCCTGGAAGGGGCTGGCACTGCGGCATAGTTGGCTAAGCCTCCACCTGCACTGCTGGCATCCCATGTGGGCACCAGTTCAAGTCCCGGCTGCTCTACTTCCAATCCAGCTCTCTGCTATGGCCCGGGAAAGCATTAGAAGATGGCCCAAGTGCTTGGGCCCCTGCACCTGTGAGGAGACAAATAGGTTAATAGGCAGCCAGGATGGTCAGCTGGTAGAAAATTGGGGTTGCAAGATGCTTCCTTGTCCCAAACAGGTTATCTTCAGCAAGGTCAAAAAGTGCCTGCCTGCCCTCCTTGAAGGCTTCCAGTTTTACCATAAGAATAGCAAGGGAGTGGGGATTCCCTCCTCCTGAGCTCACAGTTTACCGTAAGCAAGTTACCCAGCCCACTCTTCTTCAGATAAGAGCAAGCCAGATAGGATAAAGATTGTGAATCGGGTCTGATGGGCTTCGTCCGGCCCTGTAACTGAATGTCAATCTGATTGTCAAGTTTTTTTCTCCAAAATTGTGCTTAAAAACCCACTGACACAAGTCACTTTGGAAGCCCCAGCTCCACGCCACCCTGGCTGGAGGTCTCTGACTCTTAAATCTCTCTGCATGTCCGCTTGGAAATTCTTCTTCCACGTGGAACAAAGAACTGAGGTAATAATATGTTCTCCGCTGACATTTCCCCATAGCACACCCATAGGGGAGACCCATGAGAAGTTCCTGGCTCCTGGCTTAGGATCAGCCCAGCTCCAGCTGTTGTGGCCATTTGGGGAGTGAACCAGCAGATGGAAGACCTTTCTCTCTGTCTCTCCCTCTATCTGTAACTCTCTCTCTCTCAAATAAATAAATAAAATCTTTATAAAATAAAGTGCACACAAAACATTCTCCAGAAGAGAGCACACAGTAGGTCACAAAATTAGTCATGTGTGTACGTATGTGTGTGAAAGAAACAAAGAGAGTGATAGAGAAAGGGAAAGTGACAGAGAAAGAGGGAGAAAGAGATCTTCCATCTGCTGGGTCACTGCCCAAATGGCCAAAGCTAGGAGCCCAGAACTCCATCCAGGTCTCCCACATAAGTGGCAAGGGTCAGAGCACAAGCACCAACTCTGCTGGTTTCCCAGGCACATGATCAAGAACGCTGGACTAGAAGCGGAGCAGTGGGAACTTGAAGCAGTGCTCATATGGGATGTGGGGGTTGAAGGCAGCTAGGCCACCTCACCGATCCCACAAGTCAACAAATTTAAGTGGACTAAAATTATACAGGTATCAATAGCAGAAAAAAACTGGAAAATTCACAAATATATGGAAATTAAACAATTAAACATAATCTTATGGAAACCAGTGGGTCAAAGAAGAAATCAAAAAGGAAATTGGAGAATATCTTGAGAAAAATGGCATGAAAACAGCACAGCAAAACATATGGGATGCAATAAAAACAGAACTCTCAGTAAAGTTTACAGTCACAAATGCCCACTTAAAAAAAAAGAAGAAGAAAGGGGCAAACACTTAGCACAGCATTTGAGCCTCCACATGGCATGCCTGCATCCCATCTGCTCCTGCTCCACTTATGCTTCCGGCTTCCTGCTAATGCACACCCTGGGAAGCAGCAGATGATGGTCCAAGTACTTGGGTGCAAGTACTTGGGAGACTCATTGAGTTTCAGGCTTCTGCCTTTATACTGGCCCAAGCCTGGCTATTGTGGCCATCCAGGGAGTGAATCAGCAGATAGATTCTCAATCCCTTTCTCCTTCCCTCTCTATCTCTGTCTCCTTCCTTCCCTCCTTCCCTCCCTCCCTCCCTTTCAAATAAACTGAAAATAAATACTTTTTTCAAAAAGGAAAAAAGACCTCAAAGAAATAGCCTAACTTTACACCTCAAGAAAGTCAAAAAAGAACAAACTATGCCCAAATTTAGCAGAAGGAAGAAAACAATAAAGACTAAGGCAGAAATAAATGAGATAGGGCTGGCATTGTGGTGCAGTGGGCTGAGCCCCTGCCTGCAACACCAGCATCTCATATCAGAGTGCCAGTTCAAGTCCCAACTGTTCCACTTGTGATCCAGCTTCCTGCTAATGTGCCTGTGTAAGTAGCAGAAGGTAGCCCAAATGCTTGGTTGCAGCCAGAGAGTGAATCAGAGGATGGAAAATTCTCCCTCACCTCTTCCTCCTCCTCCTCCCTCTTGTCTCTCTCCCCCACCCCACTTTTCAAATAAATTATATAATAATAAAGAAATAAGACAAAGAATGGAAAAAATCGATGACAGTGAGAGTCTTTTCAAAAAGCTCAACAAAATCAACAAAACTCAAGCTACACTAAGAAGAAAAGAGTGAAATGAGATTAGAAATAAAAGAAGAGACAACTGATGCCACAGAACTAAAAAGGATTATAAGGGATGGCATGAACAGTCGCTTACCAACAAACTGGAGAACTTAGAAGAGACAGGGAAACTCCTTGAAACACACAATCTACCAAGATTGGATCATAAAGGAATCGAACATCTGAATTGTCATAACTAGTAAGAAGGTTGACTCAGTAATCAAGAAGCCTTCAACAAAGAAAAGCTCAAGACCAAATGGCTTCACAGCTGAATTCTACTGAATATTCAGAAAAACATTAATGCCAATACTTTTCAAAAAAATGAAGAGGCTAGAACACACCCAAACTCATTTTCTAATACTAGCAAATCAAATTCAATAGCACATTAAAAGGACCCCACACTGTGACCAAGTAGGATTTATCCATGGGTTGCAAGCATGGCTCAACACTGGAAAATCAACCAATGTCATATACCATATTTTTTTTAAAATTTTTTTTTTGACAGGCAGAGTGGACAGTGAGAGAGACAGACAGAGAGAAACGTCTTCCTTTGCCGTTGGTTCACCCTCCAATGGCCGCCGCAGCTGGCGCGCTGCGGCCGGCACACCGCGCTGATCCGATGGCAGGAGCCAGGAGCCAGGTGCTTTTCCTGGTCTCCCATGGGGTGCAGGGCCCAAGCACCTGGGCCATCCTCCACTGCACTCCCTGGCCACAGCAGAGAGCTGGCCTGGAAGAGGGGCAGCCGGGACAGAATCCGGCGCCCCAACCGGGACTAGAACCCGGTGTGCCGGCGCCGCTAGGCGGAGGATTAGCCTAGTGAGCCGCGGCGCCGGCCCATATACCATCTTAACAGAATGACAGATATAATTTACATGATCAACTCAAGTGATGCAAAAAAAATTGATGAAATTCAACATCCATTCATGACACAAACACTCAACAAACTCTCAACAAACTAGCAATAGAAGGAAATTACCTTAATATAATTTCCATATATGAATAGCCCACACAGCTAACATCATACTCAGTGTTGGAAGCCTGAAAATTTTTCTCTAATATAAGAAACAAAGTGCTTTGTTAAACACAGTACTAGAATTCCTAGCTAAGACAGTTAGGCAAGAAAAAGAAAAAAAGCCTTCCAAACCAAAATTGAAGAAGTAAAATTATCTCTGCTCATAGATTCCACCAAAAGCAATGTTAGAACTAATAAATTCAGCAAAGTCACAGGACATAAAATCAACATACAAAACTCAGTTGCATCTCTATACACTAACAATGAATCGTTCAAAAAGGAAATTAAAAAGACAAACCCATTTATTAAAAAAAAAAAGTAAAATCTTTAGGAATAAACATAACCAAAGAGGTGAAAGACTTGTATACCAGCAAGTATAAAATGTCACTGAATAAAGTTAAAGAAGACAAATAAATGTAAAGACACTCCATGTTCATGGATTGGAAGAATTAATATTGTTAAAATGTTAACATTCATTCAATGGAATTCCTATCAAGATCCCAATGACCTTCTTTTTTTTCCAAGGTAGAAAACAAAGTCTTATAGTTCATATGGGAACACAAAGGATTCTCAAATAGCAAATAGCAAAATGATCTTGAGAAAGAAGAACAAAGCTGGAGGTGCCACACTTCCTAATTTCTGAGCATATTACAAAGCTACAGTAATCAAGAGTGCCTTACCGGCATCAAGATAGACATTCAGACCAACAGAACAGAATAAAGTGCCCAGAAAGAAACCCAACACCAAATCAATGCTCAAATGATCCGTGACAAGGGTGCCAAGATTATATGATGACAAAGGTGTTCAGAAAACTAGATATTCACATGCAAAAGAATGGAAGTAGACTCTTACATCATACTCAAAAATCAACTCAAAATGGATAAAAGACCTAACCATTAGATCGAAAACTATAAAACTCCTCAAAGAAAACACAGAGTGAGGGGCTAGCACTGTGGCGTAGTAGGATAAACCTCTGTCTGCAATGCTAGCATCACATATAGGCACCAGTTAAAGTTCCGGCTGCTCCTCTTCTGATCGGCTCCCTGCTAATGGCCTAATAAAGCAGAAGATGGCCCAAGTGCTGTGGGAGACCTGGAAGAAGGTCCTGGCTCCTGGCTTGGGATCCTCCCAGCTCCAGCCACTGCAGCCATTTGGGGAGTGAACCAACAATGGAAGACCTCTCTCTCTGTCTCTCCCTCCCTCTGTCTGTAACTCTGCCTCTCAAATAAATAAATAAATCTTGAAAAAGAAAAACACAGAGTGAAATCTTCAATGTTGTTAGCAATGATTTCTGGGGTTCAACATCAAAGAACAAGCAACAATAGGCAAGCAGGACTACCTCCAACTAAAAGGCTTCTGCAAAGCAAAGGAAACATCAACAGAGAAAAAGGCAATATACAGAGTGAGGCAAAACACTTGAAGCCATACAGTTAAGGGATTCATATTCAAAATATAAAAGGAACTCAAACAACTCATCCTCAGGAAAACAACCCAATTAAAAAGTGGGCAAAAGACTTGAATAGGCATTTCTCCAAAGAAGATATCCAAATAGCCAATGAGTATGTGAGAAGTTGGTCAGTTTCAAGCAATCATCAGAGAAACCCACATCAAAACCTCAATCCTGTCAGAATGGCTGTTATTTGTTAAAAGGAAAATAACAAATACTGGTAAGGATGTGCAGAAGTTGAAACAGTTGTGCAATACAGGTAGGAATGTCAACTGGTGCACCCACTATGGAAGACAGTATAGAAATTCCTCAAAAAAATAAAAATAGAACAACCACGTGATCCAGCAAGCCTACTGCTACATATTTATACAAAAGAATTGAAAGCGGAATCTTGAAGAAATGTTT